TAAAGTAATTGGGATGTTAATTACAACCTTTTAATAGAGTTAAACTGAAAATTGTTAGTTAAATGAAAATTAACTAACTGAAACTATTTAGTTAACTAAAAAAATTGTTCTATTTCCCTCATAGAAATGGAATGTCCTTTTAAATATGGAAGTAAACCTCACTGGGAATCAAGCTGGAGTGAGAGGGGAAGAGGAGAAGGGGAAATGTGCTCCTAATGGATGAAGGGCACATTTACATGTATACCTTTGACTCAATCTGGACAATGACAAAGCATGTAAACAGAACATGTGTATCCTCTAACATTTTGAAATTTTTTTTAAAAAAAAGAAAAAAAGAAATTTAATATTTATTCTAATACCTACCATTTTTAAAACTAGCTGGAGATAGTTTCACTAAACTGAATAGGCTTTTACATTCCTTACCTCCTACCAATATTACCGAGGTCTGCTAATGACATTTTAGGCAATTAAGTATGAAAAGTCCAATTTCCTTCAGTACCAACTTTGATGGTTAATTCTTCTGACATTTCACTTTTGACATTTCTTGATTTTTTTTTTTTTTTTTTTGTGCATGTGTGTGTGAAGGTACATCCTCACTCTTTCAAAGGCATATTTTGGCTTGTGATTGCCTTTCAATTTTGGGGGGTGGGGGGATTTTTGTGAAACTATAGATAAGTCAAAAACTGGTATTATTTTTAAATATGAGTTCCATTGTGGAACCAATGCAGCACAGACAGTTCAAAATATCAACAGTGTTTGGGAAGGATGTGGTTAATGAATGCACAGTATGTCAGTGGTTTGAGAAGATTCATTCTGGTGGTTTTAATCTTGAAAATGAGCCACATGGGCAACCTGACACCAAGGTAGATAATGACAAGCTGAAAGCTATAGTGGAAGCAAATCCAGCTCAACCTATGACTGAATTAGCAGTAAGGTTTGATGTTACTATTCCAACAATATTGGACCGTTTGAAACAAATCAGCAAGGTAAAGAGGCTAGATAGATGAGATCAACTTGCAGCTTCCCTTTCTTTGTGGTCCCAAGATAAAAGTGAACCATTCCTATACTGTATTGTTAAGTGTGATAAAAAATGGATTCTTTTTGATGACTGTAAGCATTCAGTACAATGGTTAGAAAAAAGATGAAGTGCAAGTATCCAGCTGTATCAGGTGCAAAAATAATTGTGGTTTTTGAAATCTGCCATTTGATACTGAAATGCATTCTTAAATAAATGTGGTTATGTTATACATCATTTTAATGTGCATTTCTCAATGTTTTTATGTGTATTACTTGCTGTTTTATATTTATTTTGAACTATGGCATTGATGTTAGACAAAAAGCAAATTCAAGCAATTCTTATTCGAATTCAAAATGGGTCATAAAGCAGTGGAGACAATGTGGGGTAAACCCCCACAAAATTTAAATGAGATGTGCTCTTTTAATTCCAGAACTGAGCGAAAAGACTTGTGAATATTATGTGCTTTTGTCGAGGCCCTAAGCGACCTGGGAAAACATGGTGGGGGCCTGCAAGCCAGGCGTAAAAACCTCTTACAGGTAACCCCGACTGTGCAGTCAAGTCAGCCTGTCAGATAAGGGTTGAAACGGCCCATCTGTCCAGAGGACATGACTCAAAGGTTGATGTGAGTAAAAAGAAAAACTCCATTGTAATGATGTCGAGTAAAATACTCCATCGTAACTGCAGGGTCTCCAAAGCCATAAGAAAACAGTCATGAAGCCAGTTTCTCGGAAATTTAATTGAGTACATAGAAGAGAAAGGTTTTACTCCTCTGTTTATCCTAACCTTTAACTTCAACAATAGAAGTCAGATAATGTATTGTTCTTTTAGATCTTCCAAGAGGAATAGCCTGAGGCTAGCTTAAGATGGCCGTCTTACTTTCCCGGACTTTCTTTCTTTAGGCTAATCTTATGATGGCTATCTCACATTCCTAGACTTTCTTTCTTTTCTATAGTTTAAGATAAGAAATGAGGATGTTAGGATTATCAATTGATGTGGTGTAGTGACTAGCTCCGGATAAAAGGGAGTAGAAAATAAAGACATTTTGCTACATGCCACCTAAGAGTGTGTAGTCGTTTCTTGCTTTTAAACAATTCTAGGAGCGAGCTTGCACCCGCGGCCAAGCCGTCCTTCTCTCCTCGTCCTTCTCTCCTCGCGAGAAAGAACATCACACAACAAGACAACTCACATCAATACATTTGGCCCAGGAACTGCTAATGAATGTTCACTGCAGTAGTGGTTCAAGATATTCTGTAAACGACACAGGAGCCTTAAAAGTGTGGAGCATAGTGGCCAGCCATTCGAAATTGACAATGACCCAAATGAGAGCAATGATTGAAGCTGCTCCTCTGACAACTACATGAGAAATTACCAAAGAAGTCAACATGGATGATTCTATGGTTGTTCAGCATTTGAAGCAAACTGGAAAGGTTTAAGCTCCACATGTAGGTGCCTCATGAGCTGACTGAATATCAGAGTAATCGTCATCTTCAAGTGTTGTCTTCTATTATTCTATATAACAACAATGAACCCCTTGGTGTGCACAGTAGCTCTTGCTTGTAATCTTAACCCTCTGGGAGACCAAGGCACAGGTGGATTGCTTGAGCTCAGGAGTTCCAGACTGAGCAAACTCTAAAAATAGCTGGGCACTGTGGTGGTTCCAGTAGTTCTAGCTACTGGGAAGGCTGAGGCAAGAGGATCACTTGGGCCCAACAGTTTAAGGTTGCTACCAAAGGTGATGAAACAAACAAACAAACAAACAAACGTGAACCTTTTCTCGATGGGATTGTGATGTGACCAAAAATGAATTTCATACAATAATGACCAGTCCAGTGGTTGGACCAACAGGAACCTGTAAAGTACTTCCCAAAGCCAAACCTATGCCAAAAAAAAGGTCATAATCACTATCTGGTGGTCTGCTGCCCGTCTGATCTACTGTAGCCTCCTGAATCCCAGCAAAACCATTACATCTCAGAAGTCTGCTAGGCAAATTGATGAGATGCACCACAAACTGCAACCCCTGCAGCTAGCAACGGGCAACAGAAAGGGCCCAATTGTTCTCCATGAAAACGCCTGACAACACCTGGCACTTCACACAACCAACATTTCAAAACTTGAATGAATTGGGCTACAAAGTTTTACCTCATCTGCCATATTCACCAGATCTCTTGCCAACCAATTACCACCTCTTCAATCATCTTGACGTTTTACAGGGAGCACACTCCCACAACCAGCAGGATGTGGAAAATGTTCCCCAAGAGCTTGTCAAATCCCTAAGCATGGATTTTTATGCACAAATTTATTTCTCATTCATAACAAGGTGTTGAATGTAATGGTTCCTATTTGGGTTAAGAAAGATGTGTTTGAGCCTAGTTACAATGACTTAAAATTCATGGCCCCAAACTGCAATTACTTTTGCACCAACCTAACATTATCTACTACAGTTTCATGAAACCTAGTCAACAGAGTATAGTGGATGTCTACTGCAACTAAGTGGATGGAATAATGAGGATGCTTGTGATTAAGCAGCCAGAATGGTCAATAGAGACAGGCCAATCCTCTTAGATGACAACACTGTTGCACAAACAATACTGCTCCAAGTATAGAAGCTGGATTTGGAGCTTCTTTGTCATCCACTGTCAAGTCAGACTTTGATCAACTGACTACCCCTTCTTCCAGGCTTTGGACCACTTCTTGCAAGAAAAGATATTGAATTCTCAACAAGCTGTGGAAAATGCCTTGGTGATTTCAATGCCAATTGCTCTCCAACTTTTTCTGCTGCTTGTACATATAAGCTACCAGTAAGATGGCAAAACTATGTTAATAGTTTAGGTGCATACTTTCATTAACTGAACTGCTTCTTGCTTGAGATACAATAAACTTCTGATTTGAAATTGAACATTTCAGATTTAATGACCTAATACATATATTACTTGCAAAAAAACCCTACAAATATCAGTTATGTGCCACAATAAAAACTATATAATTCTGAATAAATGAACCAGAATTTTTATGTAAAACTTGGCCTAAATTTGACAATCACGTAATCATAGAGGGTAAGAATCCCAGCTTATTCCTAAATAGCCAAGGTACCTTAGGCAAGCAAGTTAGGCTTTCTGAGACTCAGTTTCCTCACCTCTAAAATAGAGACAGTAGTAATATACAGACCATCTTCAACTTGAAATGGTTTGACCTATAGTTTTTCAACTTTATGATCAGTTTGTTAGGATATTAAATTCACTTTTGTGTTACAATAAGTTTATTAGGACATACCCAACTGTAAGTCAAGGAACATCTGTAAGAGAGTGTGTGTGTATGTTTTTTTTGTTTGTTTGTTTGTTTTCTACAGTTTTTGGCCAAGACTGGGTTTGAACCCACCAGCTCCAGTGTATGGGGTCAGTGCCCTACTCCTTTGAGCCACAGGCACCACCCGTGTGTGTGTGATTTTATACAGGTATATATATGAATGACTACAGTCCTACCACAAAGTAGACACTATAAAAAGATAGCTATCTTTATTTATAACGAAAAATTATTTTCCTTTCTTTTAGTAACAGTTACTAGAAATGTATCAAAAGACTTTATAAAATTACTGAAATTAATATGAAAAAGCTAATTTATAATTGGAGAGATAAAATGATGTGAAATTGTTGACCCATGTTATTTAGTCCCTTCTAAATCCTAAAAGCAACTAAACAGATCATATTTTGTGAGAGAAAGCTAACAATATTACAAATTTTCCAATGAATGAGAAAGATTACTAAATTCTTTACATTTCATGATTTACTTTCATGGGATCATTAATGCTATTTTAAAGACTGAGAAAGAGCACAAAGATTGTATATTAACTTTGAAAATCAAGTTTCAAAGCTTAGTATACAATTCTCCTATACTAGAACACACATAACATGGACACATAACATGTCAAACTCCAATTATAGTTCATAGAGGGTAAGAATCAATAGAGGGTAAGTATAGTTCTTACTTTAATCTTCACAGCATCATATCGGATTTGTGAAAACTCACGAAGACCAAAAGAACCTCCAACAATCAGCAACTAAAACAAAAAAGAAACAAATAAACAAAATAGAAGAGAAGAATTCAGACTCTCTATAGATTACTTATCTAAATAACAGAGACAGATTATATGAAGTCCTATAGATTATATTTCCTGGTTAATCCTATACTTTCTCACTCTTTTTTTCAGAGTATACGTAATATATACTGTCCAGGCAACATCATACACAACATTGCCAAATACCAAAATCAGCACCCCATACCTGAAGCTGACCTTATGATTTAAATAACATCATGTCAAGTATTATATATTATTTGACCCTTACAACAAATCTATCAGATAAGGAAACAAAGCAAAACATTTGACAGATGGAAAAATAAAAGCACAGCCAACATTGCAAGTTGAAGACTGTATGTTAATGTCTTTATTTTAGATGTAAGGAAACTGAGTCTCAGAAAGCCTAACTTGCTTGCCTAAGGACTTGTCCATTGCTAAATTAAATTTGGCTCGAGGCTGCCTATACTCTGAATTCCTCTGCAACCTCAGTAGGTAGAGAAACCAAAAATTGAACTGACCAGACCAGGTCCAAAGAAGGCCAGTGTAACCAATCAAACTATTTTTGAACTTTTTTTTTCTATAAATGCTCATTGCCCATGTTGTAGAGCTCTCTGAACCACTTCTACTTCTGAGAAATGCCTGACTTGTGGATTTCCTTTGCTCAAGTCAAACTTGACAAAACTTATTTTGTTTAAAGTTTTACTTTAACACCATAATCACATAGGGTAAACCCAGAAGTAAAACTCTGGCCTTGTTTCTTCAAGACCAAAATTCTTTGAATTTTATTATTTTGCAAAATAAACTAATTGGAAAGAATTGTTCCTCATTTTCTTACCAACTGATAAAGGAATCTCATGAAATATGCCATACTTCTTTCACTATGTAGATCTCTAAAAAGATCCCCTCAATTGTCATTGCTGCCTTAACATCTCATTCAAAAATCTAACTAGCTTTACTCTCTCACCCTAATGATGCAAAAGTCTATTTGGAAAAAAAAAAAAACTTAAATTCCTACCATCCTCTTTGTATCAATGTATTAATACTAGCAATTAAAGATTAAACATAAAAGGGTGTATAGAACATTATAAAATATAAACTTTTATAATTTTTTTTCCAAAAATTCATGAGACTGCAAATGATAATTTTTAAGTAAAGAACAGCAACAAAACCTTGAAGCTATTAACTTCAAAACCCAGTATATATGACCACATAACAATTTAAAACTTCTATCCCAACAAGGACAATATACAGGGTATCCATAAAGTTCATGTGCAATTCAAAATACTGTGCAATTTTAAATAGCACAGAAACTTTATGGCACCCTGTATATAAGCAACCAATACCTGTGATGTCAATAGGTAAGAATTCTTTGTATAATAACTTGTCTCTTAGTTTCAATGAAAAAAACAAACACACTCCTGGTTTTCCTGCCTCCTTAAGTCTTTTATTTATTCTTCTTTATCTTTCCAATTTCAAAATGTTGGAGGTATGTACGGGTATATGACAGGTATATATATATATATATATACAAATTAACATAAAAGAATAACTCTTGATCCTTACCCCAAACCACTTTTTTTGCTTCACCCTGCTTTAACCAAACTTGACATCTCAGTAAATGTCAATTACTTCCATCTGACTCTTCAAATCATCTTCTTTGGACTCATTTTAAGCTCCTCATTCTTGTATCCAATATGACCCTGAGTTCTGTTACCTCTACTTTCAAAATATATTTTTTTATTTCTGTACTTATTTATTTTTATTTCTTTGCTTTCTTTTGTTGTTATTGTTGTTGAGACAGTTCCACTCTAGGCCCTAAGCAGAGTGCAATGTCATCATAGCTCACTGTAACCTCAGACTCAGGCTGCGGGCATCCTGCTGCCTCATCCTCCAGAAGCCGCTGGGATTACAGGTGTTCTCCATGACACCCAGCTTGGTTTTTCTTTTCTTTTTTTTAGGAGTTGGGGTCTCACTCTCACTTAGGCAAGTCTCTGAACTTCTGAGCTCCAGCAATTCTCCCTCCTCAGCCTCTCACAGTGCTGTGATTACAGGCGTGAGCCACAGTGTCCAGCTTTCTTTTCTTCTTTTTTTATTGTTGGGGTTTCAATGAGGGTACAAAGAACCAGGTACCCCTACTTTCAAAATATTTCTTGAATCTGACAGCTTTCTACTATATCTTCTTCATTATAATACCCTAGTTCAGGACACCATTATCTCTCTCCTGGACTAATGCAATCACAGTGCCCACACATTGCTTAATAAAGAATCTGCCTAGTCTTTGTCCTGGATTCTTGGGAATAAGCTTTGCACTTAGAATTTCCAGAAAGATATTGTGTAGGTGACTTTGCTATTCTGGGAGGGCTCCTGGGATAATGCCTGAGTTTATACTAAGGAGGTGATTATAGTTTGTATATCTGTCCCCTCCAAATATCATTTTTAAATTTGATCCCCAACACTGGAGGTGGGACCTAGCGGGGTGAGGTGTTTGGGTCATGGGGACAGATGCCTCATGATTGGTTTAGTGCCATCCTCATAGTAATGAGTTCTTACTCTCATCTGTTTTCATGAAAAATGACTGCTAAAAAGAACCAAGCACCTCTTTCCCCTCTCTCCTGCTTCCTTCCTCTAGCCATGTGATGGCTGCTCCCCTTTGACTTCTGCCATAAGTGGAAGTACCCTGAAGCCCTTACCAGAAGCAGATGCTGATGCCAGCCTGCAGAACTGTGAGCCAAATAAGCCTCTTTTCCCTCACAGCTATGCAAATGGATTAAGGCTGGAGGAACTCATGGTAGGCCCCTAGGTAGTTTCAAGATAGAGGCCGGCCATGCTGGAAAGCCCAACCACATGACTTGAGTCTTCAAGCTATGTGATATCCACTCAACCTCTAAACCTCAAGGAAAAAGAGGAGAGCTGGAAACTGAGTTTTGTTATGTACCAATGGTTCAATCACTCCAGCCTACATAATGAAACTTCAATAAGAATTTGGGATAAAGTCTGGTTGAACTTCTTAGCCAGTAAACCCATCAGTGTGCTAGGAGGGTGACATGCCTGCTTCCATAAACAAAGGACACAGAAACTCCATATAAAACTCCTGGACCTCACCCTATGGGTCTCTTTGTTTGGCTGTTCCTAATTTGCATCCTTTACAAAAATTGTCAACATAGTATAATAATAAGTACTGTATCCTTCTGAATTCTCTGAGTCTTTTTAGGGAATCACTGCTGAACCTAAAGGGGTAGTGGAATACCTGAATGCATAACCAGGTGGTTAGAAGCATGAGTGGCTGGAGAAACCCAGAGCTTGCACCTGGTATTTGAAGTAAAGGGAGTTTTGTGGAGGACTATGTATAGATAGTATATGGTGGTAGTGCCGGGGGGG